ATTGAACAAAAGACCCCTGTCTCCAAAAACTGGAGATTGTAAGGTTTGCTTCTAAGCAGAGCACAAGCACCGGCATCAGCAAGAGAGAGCTAAATGTATTTTAAAAGTTAACGAAGGCATTTTTTTTGTAATATTAAGCAATATTTACGTGGAGCCTACGAAAAAGGACAAACAAGTAAGTAAAAGGGGCAGTAGACACGTGTGCATTTAGATTTTGTCGTGCTGTTTTTGTGACATTACTCCTACAGATTATTTGGGAGCTGGTGTCATGTTAGATTAGACTAAAATGTTTTGACTTTGAGGCATAATTTGGAAATCATGCTTCAACTAGATTCCAAAGAATAACGTTATGACGCAATCTTTTTAAATAGCTTACTGGAGAGAAGTGCAACGCTAGTTATTTACCTTGCAGCCCTCTCACCATTAAGCATAAATGTCCCCAACCTCTCTTTGAATTTTATTAAGCGAAAATAAAACATGCTGGTGGTTAATACATTTGGCTGGAGGTCCAATTCTTTTCAGACCCGACCAAGAAAAACATTTCCCAAGTTTAAACGATTGGTGGGAGTATTCCTAATGTTACTTTGAACCACACGATAAACAGCTAGAGCTACAAATGCTGTAAGGATTCATACAGTTTCTCATGAATCTATTTTATAGAGATCTTTTGTAAGGACTGCAGTATCTCTACTGAGCCGCTGGAATCCCTTAATGGTTGATGTTTCTCTCTAGAGACCCGCTAAATATGCCATACTGCACCAAACTGTACGCTGTATTCAAGAGCCGATTCATTAAGAATCCATGATTATCACAAGGGTTTGCATGGATTATTAATCGCCATGTTAATCTTTGGAAAATTCCTATTATAATAAAAAGAAAAACGATGTAAAAGAACAATGTAAAAAAAAAAAAATTAAATCTGTCAGAGGTGTAAATATAATATTAGTACATATGATTTTGTAGTTTGTTGACAAGGCACAGGAATTTTTTAGTAACTCATATTGAGATCTGACTTGCTTTCTATCTTTTAATCAGAGAATAATGTGACCACTGGATTTATCATCAGACGTCAGAAGTGAACAAGATCACATGTTTGCTGCAAAGGACGCCTTTCTGAGCACCAGATGAAGTCGTCATCAAACACTTTTAAAATACCGCAGGAGCCTGAACAGGACAGCGGACTGTTCGTTTTTGGTCAAATTTTAATTTGGGGCCTGAAACACATTTCAAATGCTGATCATATTGAAAACTCATCAGGCTCTGGGCAAATTCTCCTACTCTCAAAAGCCCACACTTCATTGTGTCTCTATTCACACCGCTGTAAGCTTCTGATTTGCACCACTGGTTTCCATTTTGTGTTTAATTGTGCTGTCTGTGTTTAAGTGTGTGGACCACTGATGCGTCGCCGTGGAATCCCGCTGTGGCTTATTACTGCCAGGCTCCGCTATCCGCTGTCCCTAACCTGCTGGGTCATTTCCAGCTGCTGTAATCTAACATTAGCCTCAGCTTTCACCGGGTCCCAGCCATTTACCCCGCTATATATTATAGATGACCCCTTGGAAATGGAAGAATCCCAGCAGACATGGAATTAATTTACAGCAGTCCTCAGTTTTAAGGAAAATTGAATCAAAGTCAGTGCCGCAGACGGAGAGGTTTTATGTTGCTCCATAACACTGTCACAGTCTATAAAACTTGAATGAAAAGCTATTTGATGATTAAGTTTTTTTTTTTTTTTTTTTTTTGTTATTCGTTGGTATCTCTTGGCTTTCCTAATAATAATCATTTCACTCTAAAGTCGCAAAGTCTCCTAAAGCCGAAGCTTCTTTCAGTCGAACCTAATCCCCATTTCTTTTTTTGAATGAATGAATTTCATTTGCAAGCTCACAAACACAAGGTAAGTCTTTAGAAACTGAGCTGACAGCGTGCGTTCATATATATTGTGGGAATACGCGACGTGAAGTCAGTCACGTCTGCACTCATCAGGTTTCGTAGGAAAACTCTAAACACATGGGACGTTTAATTCTGCACAGATCCCTCCACTCCAGAGGTAGATCCTTCTTTTTTTTAATAAAAGAAAAGGAAGAAAAAGCTGACAATCCTCAGTACTAGCATGGCTTCGACACAAAGGGGATGGTGGGGGGGGGGGGGGGATGCCTTAGAGTTCCTGACTATTGAAATGAAGGATATCGGGGAGAGGAGCTTTTGTCGAAGACAGCACCAATAGCAGAATGAGAGCGGCTCACAATGAGGAACTTTTGTCAGGCTTTACAATTAGATGAAGTGAATTTAAGCTCACCTGTATATGGAGTCCTGTTTGCTGTATAGCACAGCCATTACAGCTGTCCTTGGCATCAGAAGGAGCTATTTGCAGAGTTTAGTGTCAGCATAAGTTCAGTACAGCTTGTATAGTCCATCCATTGTGCATTGGTGAGCTTACAGCGTGAAAGTTACCTGGAAGTTACCCTAATTGATCCCAATTACCGGCACTGACAGAGGCGTTGTGTGTTGGTGGGTGTCTGTAAAGAAAGAAAAAAAAAAAAGGTTAAGATTTCTGTTCAGAGTAATGAAGTGAACTTAGGAACCAGAGATGTCTGGACCACTTAACTAATTGAACTTAGTTCAATTACAGTCTCCTGCAGTGCAGGTGAAAAATTGGTGGATGTGAACTAATTGGGCATTAAATAACAATATGCACATAAAGAACAAATGTGTATCCGAAGCATCTGGTTCACTTATGGTAAATTCACAAAAGCTTCTTGTTATATTTCTGCATCATTTTTAATAGTATATTAAATCATCAAGCATTAAAATCCTTGATGATTAACTGTTTATGCTATTAGCTGAATCACAGACAATCCAGATCTAACAGGACACCAACAAGAGTTTAATAGTCTGCTTGTTATTTTTGACTCATTCTGAAACACCTTCTAAAACATAGAAAACAATCCACAATGTTTTATTTGCATTTGAACACAAATCATCCATCCAGTCATCCATCCATGAGGCCAGCCAGCTGTCCACTGATTACAGAGAGTTTGGTACAGATCATTTTCAGCATTTGGTTTTTTGTTATTTTGCCAAATTGTTTGAGTTGAATTTGATGATGATGAATCCGTGGAGGAAGCTGAAGATTAAGGCGATGGTCCTGAGGTCTTCCAACCAAAACACTTGGAGCTCGTCTCTGAAGATAAATCGTCAAAATACCAGTGAAAATATACTGACAGCTCATCTGCAATTAGGAGTTTGAGTGCTGATCATGTTTAGAAATAGTTTTTTTTTTTTCAATGACTATTGAAAATTGTGTAAATTATGTTTTCTTTGATGATTTATATTACAAAATCGATACATGAATAAATACATGTAGCCTCTATTACTACACTTTTAGAGGTGATATGTTACTGCATTGAGGTGAGATGTGATTAAATACATAATGTTGATCATTTAGTCTACATATTACAATTATTTTATTGTTGTTTGGGGATAAAAAAAAAAAAGTACATGCAGTTTAATGCACTAGTCATCTAGTATAATCCTTTGAATACTTCCCAAGTTGTTTTACAGCACAATTTTACTTTGTTAGAAATGCACATTGAATATAAAATGTGTTCCTCAGCAAAGTTGATCCAATCGCAGGGTTGAGAAAATTAAGGACAGAATTGATTGAAAAAGGAATTTCAAAGCCACATGAGAAACGTCACCTCTGGCAGACGGAGACTATCTGTAAATAGAAATCTTGTAACAACAAGCAGGATCCAGCGAGGCACAAATAGAGAAAAGGCTGTCAGCAATGACAAGCGCTAAACACAGTAAACCAAGCACTATGCACCGTTAAAAACAAGAAGATACAACGCATAACGTGGCAATCTCAGGGAAAAAAATAAATGAATTAAAAATAGGTGCGTTATGAAAACATAAACAGAGAAATCTGCAGTGAACAAAGAAAGAGACAGAATTCAATAAAAACAGAAGTTTTACTTACAGGACAGGTAAATTTTTCCAGCTAAAGATAACATGGATGAGAAATAAGCATTAAATAAAAAATAAAAAAAAGATGAAGATGAAATTTACCAAACCAGAAAGCAATTAAAGTCATTAATGGAAAGAACAAAAAGATAAAAATCTGTCATGAAGCGGTTGTGGTGGTGAGGATGAGGACGCAGGGACCCAGGTTATGATGAAGATGATGATATGTTTAATAATGGCGGAGAAGTTAGCACACAGCTAAACAAGACTGAAAAGAGAGCGAAGCTAACCAGGACTATTCAGTTCCACTGGAGAGCTGAGACATACGTGCGACAATGTTAGAAATTAGACAATTGACAAACCCAGACAAGGACCCGACAAGAGACAAAGACAACAGGTGGACTTAAATACACACGGGGTAATTAAGCGAACGAGACACACCTGGGAACAATCAACAGGGAAGGCGCAGAGACTCACAGGGAACAGGATAACAATAAACACAGAAATAACTCAAAAATAAACACAGAAAACTACGGATCATGACAAAATCAAGCTCAACAGAACATGTAATAGAGCTATTATGTTGATTACTCTTATAAAACCAAATTTCTTCCTCTGCTGTTTCACCAACCAGAGACAAACATGTTGAAAAAATTTCTGCATATTCCTTGCAATATATTCAAGTTGTTTTATGACAGATATGCTTATTTTTAACTATATTTTACAGTGCAATTATGGACAAAGTATGGATGATTACAACTAGAACAAATAATTAAAGCAGACCTAACATTGAAGTTACCCTACCTGCCAGGGTAACAAGTAGTTCCACCAAGTTGCAGGCAAAATATCCATTTTATCCTATGAAAGAGTAGACCAGCCAATCACAATGGAGGATACCATTTCAGTGGATAACACCTTAAATATACGAGCTCACCTGTTTCCGTCTGCTCCCTTGTTTCTGATCTCTGTAAGCTGGTTTCTGCCGATAAGTTTTTGTGCGGCATTCGCTTGACCTTTGTTGTCTTTTCTCTTTGCAGGACACTGAGATCCTGAACACTGCTGTCCTGACCGGGAAGACGGTAGCCGTTCCAGTAAAGGTGGTGACCATCGGAACGGATGCCTCTGTCACCGACGTCTCTGAAACGGTGACATGCCGCTCGACGGATGAAGACGTAGTGAAGGTCAGTAAGGTGAACTGAAAATGACAACTTTTTAGGTTTTGTCAGCTACTTCAAGTGTTTACTGATGATTTGATGTGATTTTTTTGGGGGGGTTTTTGTTGTTTTTTTCACATCACCACCCTGAATTTTGGGCAGCGTCAAGGTCGAGTTTGTTAAAACATAAGAAATCGCAAGTGTTGTGTTTCTGTATGCTTAGAGAAATATTTACCTAGTAATTAAGTTTGTCACAATTGTTGCTTTACGATGATGATGGGTTATATTTGGGGTTGGTGTCCTGCTCTCCAACATGGCCTCCCATAAAGACCAGATTTGTTCTGGCTTTTATGGATTGTTGTTTTATAACTCAATAATGAACCTCTCTGCAGCTTTACCCCGTCCTGTATGCCTCGGTCTTCATGATGTTGTTCTCCAACAAACCTGTGAGGCATTAAAAGAACAACTAGAGTCAGACTGAACTTAAACACTTACATCTGTACTGTATTAGTAATTAGATGAGTTATAAAAACAACATCACACTGGGTTTTATATGGAAGTCTTAGGGTGAAGGAGAAGAATGGTACAAAGCTTTACAACTTTTATTTTCAGGACATTTAAAAAATGATTTATCCTTTTGCCTTTTGTTTACACTTTTCACAATTATTTACTACTTTATTCTGCCACATAAAATACCAATGGAACACATTGAGGTTTGTGATTTTAATGTCTAAATGATAAAACGTCCGAGGTGTATGGATACTTTTGCAGTTCACTGTATGTGACACTCAGCCGATTTTGTTTTAATAGCTCCGGTTAACACTATGTAGTGAACATAAGTCACTACATGGTGAAAAGTCTCCTACAGGTTTAAAAATAGGATCTCAGATATCAGGGGCTCCAAAGAAGACACTCGCCTGCAGAATTTCAACAAATCAACCAAAAGGCAAATATTTCTTTACATCTGTCTCTATGAGAAAGAACATCTTTCTTCTTCTCAAGAAAGAAATCCCTTAGATGTACCAAGACAGAATAAAGCAAACAGTTAATGTCATATAAATGACACATAATGGAACTAATCAAACTCTGAAACCGTGAAATGTTACTTTTCTGCTAGCGATACACACGTGGATATAAGTAATCAGAATAAACGGCCAACCGGAATAAAAATTTGATTAATTGCTTTTGTGCTCCTGTAGACAACGTTTGGATTATCTAATCTAAATACATTTCAATCAAATCTGAGAAAAGTCTGCTGCTGCTGAGATATGTCTCCAAATCGTGTTGTTTCCAGTTACAATCTTCGATTATGCAAACTTAATTCATTTATCTTTGGGACGTACTCAGTTTGTAAAGACGGAGTGACGCCACTGTGCATAATACGGTATATTTTACAGAGTTCTAACATTGCTGCAACTTAGAAGGAAATGCTGAAGAATACGTCTTTTGAGACGTATTCTTCTTTTTACACCAGCGTTGACTTAATGTAGAGGTGGAAACAAGGTTTTCCCTTCATTATGTTGAAGGCACATGTTGCTTTCCTGGATTCAGATTTTGACAGCTAAGGTTAGGGGTATGACTGGTAAGGCAGTGTTGGGAATATGCTGTTTGCGTACATTTGCATCTCATCTGCCCACTGTAACTCCGCATGTTGCCGCTGCATTCTGTATAATGAAGCCATGCCTATTAAAACACTAAACCAATTCTCAATATTTTAAGCAGAAGAAGAAAAAAAAAAAAAACAACTATGTGCCCCCAACATTTCATTTCAGCTTTTTCTAGCCCGGAACGTTACTGTTTACATTTGCATTCACCAACAGGTCTTTCGCGCGCGCGCACGCACACACACACACACACACACACACACACACACACACACACACACCGCATCCCGGCATTAAGTTGATATTTTAGAGCTCACCTCTGACTCATAGTATTGCTGCTGTGTTTCAGCTGCTCACAGGAATATTAGAACTGAAACGAGCCAAAGCAACAACACAAACACACTCTGACGGTGTCTATTCATGAGCTCTTTTGGAAAACCTTCCATATTCATGTTAGCCATGAACCCAAGGAAGGGGTTGTGAGCGAGCGTTCACAACCCCCCGCTGCCAGGGAGGATGGCTGGGGGAAGGCATGATGTGTCCACACTTTCCGAACGAGCTGCAGCTTGCAGTATGCAGAGCGGTCGAGGCAGCTTAATTGCTTCTGTCATGTTAACCGTGTGAACACGCCGGAGACGGACTCGCCCCACCTACACGCTTTCCACTCCCTTGCTCATATCTGCCGTGGATTGTATCTGTCTGGTGAGTTGTTAATTTCCTGGGCTAGATCCAGCGACAGCCCTAATGCTCTCTGTAAGTATTCTCCCGCTAGCTGCCTAATGGGTTTGATTAATGTGGCAGCGGATCCTCCTGGACGTTTGCGTTGCTTTGTGAGGCAGAATGACAGAGAGCAGAATGTAGCGCAGAGAGGCAGACCTGCCCCAGGCCTGGGTGGGACACCATGAATGTACGAGACTTTAAAACGCCTGCTCGTTAAGTTAAAAAAAAAAAAGTTTATCGGTGAGACCAATCACAGATTTTGTATGTAAATTGAACGCGAATGGCTGACATGTCGTCGTTATGTATTTCTGAAATAATTTAAACCCCTTTTTTACTGTGGGTTAATTCTTTTATCCCCATAGACAACAAAATAAAATCATGCAGCTTTAAAAGTTCAGTTTCTGTCATATTTATTGGCACATGAAAATGTTCCAAAAGCCTTCAATTAATTCATCTTTTACTCAGCTCAGGTGTCAAACTCTTTTTTTTTTTTTTTTTTTTTGGTCCATATCAACATCATAAATGTCCTCTAAGAGCTGGTTGTGGCAGAGTGTATCAATAAAACTATAAAAACATAAAAACAAAATAAAAATACAATTATAAATCTGTTAACGAACTTTTAAAATATTGCCTCTCTCTCTGTATACGATGAGAACTAGCTAAAATTAAATAATATTTTCTTTTCACATTGACGTAATTTGGCACAATACAAATGAAAACCGAGTTGATTTGACTAATAAAATAATATTTTAGCACACAGCTGTTATCTTGAAGCTGTTACTTATGTGCCTCTCTAGAGTCTTGAGGGCCACATAAATAGCTTTGGCTGGCCTGGTCTGGCCCATGGGCCTCGGGTTTGGCACATGTTTTAGAAATATCCAGCCTTGAACTTGATGATATTTACTCAGTTGAGAAAGAAAAATCCATTTCTCTGAAATGTACAAAATCAAAGGTGTCACAACTATTTGAAAGTGATAAACAAAAAATAATTTAAAAATAAATGTACCTGAAGCATTTTTTTTTTTATTAAATTTTACTCTCCAAATTTATTAGTTTTCTAAGAATTTCTAATAAGTAATGTGCAACTTTCTATTTGCCTGGTGAAACGATACAGTTTGTTTTGCTACCAGACTCAGGTGTCAGGTAAGGACAGATAAACAAAACTTTAAAGCTCTCTGGTGGGAAACTGCAACAAAGTTCATCACTTTGGCAGTCACTAAATCTCCATGACAACTATTTTTTACGACCCACATGCCATCTGGTGGTCTGGGAGTATTGCAACTACTATCCAACCATCTCAAATGTAAACATGGCGTTTGTTAAACTCTTTCAGAACTTCAAGTGGAATTTTTTTTTTCTACTAAAATTGAGCTTCTAGGCAACAAACACCCCACACTGGTTTGATGTGAAATGAAAAATACCTTGTGGCCGTTGCAAAGTACGGTATCTGTGATGCTGTGGGCCTGTTTCTCTCACAAGGTTTCTGTCAGCTTTTGCTAGAGTGAATGGCATTGTGAAATCAGGAGATTTTAAATAAAAATCTGTCCCTGTTCGCTACACTTCAACAACAGAGAAAGTTTTTATCACGAGTGTCAAATATTCTTTTCCTTTTACAGAGAATTTTGAACTGCAAATTATTGCTAAGCACATAAAAAGGGGAGAAAAAAAATCACAAGATAATTTTTTTTATTACAAGAAAAATTACATTTTTATGGGCCACAAGTAATTTAAACTTGAATATTCTCAGCTGAATTGCAAAAATGTTTAAATGTCGCTACCCTGGTTGAGCTAGAGTGATTATGCAGAGGAGCAGTCTGAACTCTCTCTCTGTGTGTGCTACAAACTTGTGAAATGTTATTAGAAGGCAAAAGTGGCTTTTATAAAAGTATTGACAAAGGGCATACCAATTAGTTTGGCACCTGCAGTTTTGTTAAAAACAGACGTGGGATTTCTTTCTCTGCTACATTAACATGTTCAATTTCAGCGTGAGATTATTCTACTGCATTAAAGATCAAATAAGTTTATTGGCTTTTTACATAATCCCAACCAGGAGTGTCGCTATAATAGCCATGAAATAGCAACAGTAATAGGGTTTAAAAAAAAAAGTAAACAGTATTGACGATTGGTATTTCACTTTTCTTTTTTTGTGGCCCATTAGCGTCACAGAACTGAGCCAGATGCTGTGGAAGATTTCTGCCGAAACAAAGCCAAGAAAACGGCAGACATGTGGGAGCTGTCAAAGGCACGACTGTCCCAGCAGAGTGCAGTTAAAGACGGAGAGCTTAACAATGAGGCCTGTTAAGCAGCACAGAGTCCTCTGATATCTATATCAGTTCAAATTCTTTCTTTGGGAACCCTTGTGGAGTCCAATCTGCTCCGTGACAGGCTGCAGCCAGGGGAGGAGAGCCCGGCCTTACGGGAACGTTCAAACGCCTCATTAGGCGACTCCACCAGTCTCTTTTACATTGGCATCCTGCAGCACAAGGGCACCAGCAAGGTACTTCTTTGTGTGGAATGTTTATTCACTGGAGGAACGCGGATTAAACACCCATTTAACTTTTGCATGTCCTCCTCGGTTGTGGGGAATTCTCTGGTGTTTGACTGCAGTCTTAGAGGACGGCCTGCAGCATGCCTTGCAGCTCTCCCATAAGGCCTTTGTTAGCATGCAAAGAGTTTTGTTAGTTTTAGTAATGTTATATAATTTTCCAGCTAAAATCTGTTTTGGGTTTTTTTTTTTTTTAAATAAAGGTCTATATCTTGATTTCTGCCGTTTGAAGCTCATAAGAGATATGCTTATTTCCATGTCTGAAAGTATGAAATGCCCAATAAAAGTGTGACGTTACATCAGGAACGCCCCACTCACTCACCTACGCATTACGCAAACGCCAGCCCAAACTAAAGCAGGGGATTTGCATTTGACTTTGTAATGCAAAGAATTATATGGCAGCTTATAGTGAGGAAGTGGAGCAGTAAGAAATATTGTCCAGAAGCAGTAGCTTAGAGGACTGTTAACCTAGCTCCCTTTGAAGGGATTTAGAAGTGTCCTGTGGAGAGCCAAGTCTGGCTTCAATTCACAGTTGCAAAAAATATATAAAATCTTTTTGCAAAAGATTAGATAAAGGTATTTTCTGATCCAACTGTGACCTGATCTGGACATGTGTTCAGTCTATTAATCACGCTTTATTCATCAAGCCCCTTTTCACACTCATTCATCAGCACATTCACACAAATAATGTATTTTAGCTATGCAGTGGTTGTGCAAATCTCACTTTTCTGCATGTAATCTGTGTTTGTTTTTTTTTACTCATGAGGGTTTAACAGAACTGCAATGGTTAGTAAATGTCCACATAAAAGTCCATGGAAACAATTTCTAATTCCACTCAAACTGCATGGCCCTGTTCAGATCTGGTGTTAACATAGCTGATCTGACCGTCAGCAGAGCGATCCAACAGTGACAGTTCACACCTGGTATTAAAATCTCTGCTTTACGTGCAGAGGATGTATATAGCTACATCACTGACTGGGCTGTCAGCCAGGTCCACTGGTGTTTCTGTAACTTAGTAGATTAAATAACTTAAACTACATTATTATTCACACAGGGCTTAGAATAATCTCAGACTTATTTTGTTTGCTTTCCTTGGTCACCTGTGTTGGTTTGACAACAATTTAGAAGAAGAAATCGGCTGAGATCAACAGAATGTGTCGCCAACAGAGGACACATAAAAAGTAAAGACTGCTGTAAAAAAATAAAAAATAAAAAGATGTTTTTTTTAACTGCTAAACTTTCTGCGTCTGTCCTAACTGGGCCTTCTCTCTTAGGTTTGGGTTCATTGTTTTGTAATCCTTTGCAAATGGTGTTTTTCTAACAGAAGCATTTCATTGTGAGTGAGGAGAAATCAATCTTTCTCACCGATTTACTTCTACAACGTCACACATCTGTCTTACACAGATGATCTTTGCTAGTAAAACGCAAACTACGTCCTTTTCGTTGTTGTCAATGTTTTGGACACTTATTCCCCGTTTGAAAGATTATTTTTGTCAAGAAATGAGCCCATTCTGTGAATCTCAAGGTCATTCCTTGAGTCACCTTGGATCTCAAGGTCGTTCTGTTACACTTCTAATCACTACCCATATATGGCACTTCCTTTGTTTTAGTAGGTGGGACTCAAAAGGTTCTTTTTGTTTCAGAAATGTTTGATGACATGAAGGCATCAGATTCGTACAGGGAGGTAAATCTACACTCAATCAGTGTAGATTTACACTGATTGAGTGTAGATTTACACTCAATCAGTGTAAATGATTGAGTGTAAATCATTTACACTCAATCTTAAAGTGTAATAAGTTGGTACTTATTGCCCTTGATCAATAAGTATCAACCAAGGGCAACGTCGTGCAGGGATGGATTTTCTTCTTTATATAAACAGCCTGCGTACATGTGACCTCACACAATATGACATGTTGTATTTCAGGGCTGCATTTTACTCTGCTGAGCTGTGCGGGTCAAGGTCGGATTTATTTATGGAGAAAGTAGTAAAAGAAAATAAATAAATAAATAAAAGTCAAAATTCACAGCTATTTGAGGTTTCTTTGCAGCCAGTATTTTCAGAGTCTGTAGAGTTCGTAAGCGGTCTTTTATATTCTTTTTTTTTGTTTGTTTGTCATGACTCAGCCAAGATTATAAAAACTTCAAGTACTTTGTAGAAAGAAGTAGTTATTTTGATTCCTATATTTTATATGGTGAATATTCCAACCTGAACTGAGTTGAAAGCTGACTCTTATGAAATATTTAATTCTATAAAGGGGATATAATTAATCATGATTATATGCAGATTCCCAAATAAAGGTTGTCCTCAGATCTGAGAAAAATACCTGGGAAAAAGACTCACTTTTTTCCAGAATATGGAAAAAAAAATGTTTCTTCTATTACTTTTTCATCTTCAAGCAGTTTTATTCAATGCAGAATTGCAGAAATAGGCTTTGATTTTAAGCTCACGATGCTACACTTGCATCATATTGTTTCCTTGGTTTCTTGCTGGAGTTTGCATCACTTTGTAGATGAAATAAGAATAAAGAAGAAAAAAAAAACACTATTAGATATCTAATTACAGTTCCAGTCTAGCTGAAGCAAAAACCAAGTTTCAGGACAGTATGAAAGTTTACCTTAAACTTTCTCACAGTTTGTCATGTTACATCCACAGACTTCCACGTATTTTTCTGGGATTTTATGCGAAAAACCAACACAAAATTGTGAATCATTGGGAGCTGACATTGTGAGCCCCTTTGACAATGCTGCTCCTAAATGAACCAGTTGCCTTCAGCATTACGTAACCTGGCCGTACGTCGTTTAATCTAATTATGAATAAATCTCGGAGGTTTGTTGGAGGATCTTAATGAATAATTACCAAGAATCACACCGGACGCATCAGGGGCATATCTGTGATGAAGCTTTCAAACTCTCACAGTGCCTCGTTTCAGCTCTTATCTGGAGAAGGAAAGAGTACGACCCGACTGCAAACCTACCGAGACAGGACCGTCCACCTGAACTGACAGGGCGACAAAGGAGAACATTAATTAGAGAAGAAGCCAAGAGGAGAGAAGCAACCATTAGCTGTGCTTTATGCAAGTGTGGCAGTTTGAAAGCTATTGGTGGAAAAAAAAAAAAAAAGTTCCAATAAGATTATTTTAAAGTTTGTCACAAGCCATGTGGGATGCAGAATATATGAAACCAAAATCGAACTTTTTGGTCCACAAACGTCACCCTGAACAGCGAGGATCCTTTAGCTCAGCACAGAGAGAAAGAAGTTTTCCACGGTTGCTTGGAAGATTGATGAAGCTAAAGACAGAAAACCCCCTGAAAGAAAATCTTATTGTCTTCCAAAAGAGATTCAATTTTTATCAAGACAACTCTGCTCAAATACCACCAAAGCTGTAATTGCAGTGGAATGTGGTTGTGCAAAAGTATTGACTCATGCAAGCTTAATATAAATATATCTCGCTCGCACCTTTTTTTTTTTCTTTCACTTTGTTGATTTCATTTGATTTGATGTTGCAATAAAAATGCACTGAAGTTTGATTTTGCAACAGCTAAATTAAAAAAAAAAAACACGGGTAGAAATACTTTGTCAAGGCACTGTACCGACGACAAACTGTAAACAGGATGAATGCCGCTTTCATATCTAGATGTAAACTATTGAGTTATGGCGGCAGATTCCCTCCTCACATCCAACCTGCCCTGAATTAAGAGGAAAAACGTAGTTCCGCAAAAGCTCAAATTGCCGGCTTCTTGTCGGGAGATGAAAGGCGAGATTCTCACACGAGGCTTCGGCTTTATTCTGTCACATGCAAAGTTTTCTTGCTATTCACAGAGGAAATGCTGCTGCGGCTTTATGATGAATGGGTGTTTCCAGTTTTATCTCACTGTGGAGAAATAGCTTGGAAGGAAAGAGGAAAGATGTATCCCCAGATCATCTAATTCCAATATGGCTCCAGCTACATGATAAGATCAATAAGATTGACAAAGCACCCCAAAAACAACAAAAAAAAAGAGAGAAATGTTTTCAATGTGAAGCTGATTAATAACGTGTCTGTGTTGTGTGAGTCCCTTTGGACCGTCTACGTTACGTCGAGATTTCTAAGACAAAGAGGAGGAGGACTGTGGATAGAGAGGAGGGAAGGATCAAAGAAAAATTATGAATTTAAAGAGTCAAAGCAACAAAGACGCAAACAAAGAAATTGTCCCATTCCTTTCTTAAAGTGATTTGCAAAACAAATCGTTCAGAGTTTGATTATTTCATCTGCACAAAGCTGCTCTGCTCTTTCTACTTCGCATCGGCTTGCTTCTTTTCGCTTTTAGGCCCATCGCCGCCTCGCAGACCGATGTCCGGTTCAAAGAAGTCATTGCAGAACCCTCCCTCCACTTTCCCCGAGTGTCAGCCTCATACTGAGGAGGACCTTTCATCTTGTTCAAAGTTGTTGGAGGAATACTGCTGTATATCAGGGGAGAGCTCAGACGAGTAAACCCTGTAATAAAGCTATAGGGCAGAGCGTGTGTCCGGCACGGTGTGTTTCTCTGTGATTCGGTGTGTAGCTGCCCAGCGCGGCTGTCAGAGGAGCTCCACGGTAAAAGCTGCCTTTTCCTAATCCCTCCCTCTGTTCCTCTCCCACTCCTGCCCCCCTCCCCCCCTCTCGCCCTGCGCAGGTCTCCGACAGGTGCGACTACGTTTTTGTGAATGGCAAGGAGATGAAGGGCAAGGTGAAGATGATGGTGAATTTCACTTATGGATACCTCAGCGCTCAGCTAGAGCTCTGCGTGTGGATCCCTCGCCTCCCGCTCCAGATTGAAGTGTCGGACACGGAGCTGAGCCAGATCAAAGGCTGGAGGGTGCCCACCGCCGCAACGGGTCAGAGGTGAGGCTGGACCCGGGGCTTCATGAATCAGCTCTGTCCTACCTGATAAAGCATGTGAAAAGGGCGGACTAATTCTGCCCACAAGTAGAGTCTTATTAAACATCACCATTTATTTAAAGGGATCATTTTTTTAAGTAACTATCCCTGCTGTTGGTAGAGTAACAGAAGACATTGTTATTACAGATGTAATTGGTCATATATGACATTTTTATACATATACATATTTAAATTTTGACACATAAACCTAGTTAGCCTCGACTTAACACTGCATAAATGTAGTAGTTTCAGGTTTTTGCTCTAACATATTATCCCTATTTTTGTTTTTGGTTGATGATCTATTGCCTGAACTTTTAATCAGCTACTCAGAACAGCTACTTTTCTCCAAACATTTTTTTTTTTTACAATACACTTTTGCTTTTTTACAATAAAACTGAAACAACAATTAGTACTTAAAATGCTTCAAAAAACAAACGGCGACGCCATTATTAATTGTGTAATTGCAAAGAACAAAGACTGAGAAACTAGAAAAATCTATAAAGATTTTGGTTTGACTACACATTGATGATGAAGGATTGCAACACGCATTGATTAATTTGGCTTGTCACAACTGTTAAATTATAGAGGAAAACGAGCTAATATTAGGTGGTTAATTGGTGAGGCCTTCAGAGAAGGAGCAGGAGCCGTCCTGCAGTTGTTACTTAATGGGCATGGTGGTGGTTTAATGGGCATGGTGGTAATTTTATGGGCATGGTGGTGGTTTAATGGGCATGGTGGTGGTTTAATGGGCATGGTGGTGGTTGCCCAGTAGGTAAAATGAATGCTGAACATGTTCAGCCAGCACCACTGCAACATCCAGAAGTCTAAACTCCAGCTGTTTCTACTCCCATTTGTATTTTTTGGAACAGTAAGAATTTTTTAGGATCTCTTTCAGTGCATTACTTTAATAACATTAAACCAGCTTGTATTGATGTTCACATAGCAGCAGGAATATGTTTTATATATGAGCAGATTTCAGCCGATTTCTTGCCTTTCTAACATATTTTGCATGTGTTCAAGACTCGCTCACTCTGCAGTTCCACTTTGTTACCCATAATTTCATGTGTGGACTAATTTGTACATGTCGATTTCTTGGGCCACTGCTGACATCAGGCGTGAATTTTATGCCACTGATCCCGTTAGAAAAATTTTAATTAAAAGATAGGTTGTGGACAAATTTGTATTTCTTGCAAGCAATAAAAATATGTAGAAGCTGAGCAGCAGAAAGTGGGAGAGCAGCTCCTTGTTGCTCTACAGCTGGAGAAAACTGGACTGCAGCCCTTTCTCTGCAATTTACTGTCTTACATTATCCAGATACATTTAGTGGTTTTTTTGTTGTTTTTTTTTGTTTTTTTTTTTACAAAAATTGCAGCCCATGGCAAATGTAGTGACCTTCTGGTGTTGTAGGAGACTTTTGGAGACTCTTATTCTTCTTTATAAGTAATGGGTGCTGCAGTGGCTGCAGCCGTCCCTCCCAGCTGCATTCACAGCAGGAGACGTTCCCTCTTCTACACCCAGAATGCAAATGAACCATAGATGTGCAAAGCTGCCACTGGCTGAATTGTTGTTATTGTAAGATCCAAAGTAGACCACGACATTAAAAACCAAACCAGGCTTTAAAGGCCTTTCTAGCTTCATGTCTGTTTTGGGTATCCTGTACCAGCCTTCAGCCCAGATAAACGCAAACTACTGAAAACAAGGACACATCTGGAGATATTTGGTGGTCCCTTTTTTAAATCACTTCCATGATCGTATTCCGTTCTCCTACAGCCTTAATAATAATTACATGAACAATTTCTGAAATTAGGTGTTTACCTCATTTGGGGACCTGATAGTTTCTCCAGCATCCCATTAAAAGTACATTGAACTGAATGAATCTGTATGACAAAAATTTGAAGTTGTTAGTTCATTAAGAGAAGCTGCTACATTGATAGCTCCATCTTACTGCGCTGCGGGGCTAACAGGTTCAGGAGATCTTCTGTGCCGACCGCAGTCAGGTTGTGTAACACCTTGACTAAGGGAAGTTGGGGGGGTCATGAACTGGACTACTGCGTGATTCTCATAGTACTGCAATAACACTTTCCAATGTTTTTAGTATTCTTAGTCTAATACGAGCGTGGTTTGGGTCTGCAGCTCCAAAATCCAAGCAAAACATTGACCGTGGTCCGGTTCTGTAGTAGCTCCAAAAAACAGGCAAAACGTCCAGGAAAAGTTCGTAGCTCCAACTGGTTAGCTAAAAAATAACAGTCAACAGCGGTAAAGATCCAACCTCGTCCATGAACGGCCGCCAGCCAACTGCCAGTACGTGGCAGCGGGCACGTACACCTCCGTCCTCACCCCAGTCCATCACAGCCAATCAAATTGCTTAAACTTGATTTTGCCCTTGACTGACCAGTAAGGTAGAGACAAGTAAAACGATGCATTTACTGGCGGTAGTAAATAACAGTTATTAACAAACTACATTTACTCCGTGTTTTAAGCCAACTAAAAATACTTGCGTGTACAATAATGTTAAGGACTTTTACAGTGGGTAAAGCCTCCAATATGTGAGTGTAAAACATTAACCAGGTTAAATAAAAGGTGATTATTACTGTTTAAGGTGAAAAGGCTTACAATGCGTTGTATTTAAGAAAACGTTAAAGGTGTGTAGGAGAAAAGATAACCTGAGGGGTTACATGAATTTCCCAACTAACTAACTAACTAACTAACTAACTAACTAACTAACTAACTAACTAACTAACTAACTAACTAACTAACTAACTAACTAACATCCATATCTTGCTTGAATGTGTCACAGGTCCATTCTTCTGTTCTATTAAATTAATTGTGTCTCCTGCTGTGCGATGATTCAAGCTTGATAAGAACAAATACAATGTCAGAAAAAAAAATTGATTCAAGATTTCCACTCTGAACAATAGACTAACATCTCTTGATGTTAGTCTATTGTCTTAGACAGTTAGTCTTGAAAGCTTATAATCAGAGGTCTTTGAGATGCACTACTAGCCTGATGAATGCCTTTTGTTACGGCTGATTTGTTTCAATTCTGTCATTGAGAAAAATGAGATAATGACGACCGTGTTGGCGAGCAACTCTTCGATGTTGGCTCTCTTTCCCTCACTTCAGTTCTCCTGCCAGTTCTTAGTTGATCACAAAATGGCTGACATGTGCAGTCTGGTTTGTCATTATTGTTGGCTCATGGTGGCCTGCCATTGCGTCTCTTAGTTGTCAGTAGGACAGCACATTATTAGAGCTGTCTCGAGGTCAGCCCCTCTCTCCTGAGGCCTCATCACTAGCGGCGCCTTCTGCCAGCGCTGCCATGTGTTGCCACTCTGCAGCTGCAGGAATCCGTCAGCCAACGGGAGCAGCCATCACCCTACCTGCAGTAATTACATCTGGAAATGCGTCGAAGTTGGACTCGGAGTCATCCCACGCGCCACTGTGTCTCCTCTAATTATCCGTGGCCCCCTCTTATTTTGAGTGACAGAGGTACAGCGTTCAGCTAATCTCGTGGCTTGTCGAGTGTGTTGCTGTTCCTGCTGCGTGTCGGCGTGCACGCCTCCGTCAGCGGTGGGGACAGCCAAGGCGGGTTGTCATCGTTTGGCTCCGGCAGCATCGTTGACGGCTTCCGAGAGCTTTGTCTTCCCAGTGTCCTGCAGTCGTCTTTGTTTATCAGGGGAGAACAGGCATGACCTTGAATGGTGCCTCGGTGGCTGTCGGTGAGGATGTGCACTGGCCCGCCGTCCGCAAGCCCAGGAGGAACTAAGCCAATGAGTGACAATAACAAGTGGCTTAGTGCTCTCTGACCAGTTGGGCTTGGAAATTGTGGCCATGCTGGGGCAGGGAGGCAGCAGAGAAATATAAAAAAAGAGAGAAAAAAATGGAAAGAGGCAGCTGGTCTGTTAGTGGGATAGCTGCAGAGGTACTACTGACTCGGTTTTTGACTGACTCTGCCTGCACAGCTCACCTCTTCACTGCTTAAGCTCTGCCAAAACAGCGACAAGATAAGCCTGCACAGACAGAGGAACTAAGTGTAGGCGGAGTACCGGGGCATGCATGACTACTTTAACACTCCGCTCCAGATATATTCATTCAGAATTAGTTTCCCACATTTTTTTTTAGCGATTAAAACATTCTCTTTCATACATCTTTTAACAGACTGGATTGGAAGCTCTACAATAAAATAAAAAAACGATTCCCCCATTTCTGGATATATAAGAAACGACTCTGCTATATATAAAAAAAAAAAAAAATCAAAAAGAAACAAACGTCTAATGACCATTTTATTAACTGTAACTAGAAAGAGTGTTACAAGAAAATGACAGTCACAATACAAACCCTAGATGAGTGGATGGGTATAACTGTGAGGATTTGAGTTTTCTGTGTCTTTATTTTTTCTGTCCCTTCTACCCCTTGATTGATCCCAGCTGTGTCTCCTTCCCCTGATTACCCTTTGTGTATTTAATCCCACCTGTATCTCTTGTTCCTCGTCTATCCAGTCGTTTGTGTCTCATATTTCTGCATTTGTTCCAGTTGCTACCAGTTTCTGAGCTCCTAGCCTTCTGCTCACCTGTGCTGCCTGGACTTTGTATTCTCGTCATTTCGTCACTGAAACCATCATCGTTTTCTCTACTGCCTGGGTCCACTGCGTTTACCTCACCTCCTACAGCTGCATATCGTGACATTAAGATTTGACTGTGTGTTCTATGACTTTGTGTTTTTATGATGTGAAGCACTTTGAAATGTCTTGATGCTGAAAGGTGCTATTCAAATAAAATTTGATTGATTGATTGAACATTTAACATGCATAACATGGGGGGGAAAAACAAACTTTCTATATATATATATATATATATATATATATATATATATATATAAAATGCATTAACACTGCTTATTCCGGTCCAAACAACCTTCGCTGCTGTAGCAGACGACAAAATGCAGGAAAAGCAGCAGCAGCAGCACACACTTCGCGGGACAAGACCAAAACAGGCACGACACATAAATATGCACCATCTCCTTTGAAGTCAGGAGTTGACTTGGAAGTAAATGAAGTGGAAAAAAATATTGCTTTGAGAGGCAGGTTGTTTTCGGGCACGGAGCGGTATTTGTTTATTAGATTAACCTTATATTTGATTTTCAAGGCGGTTGCACAAACATTGGCTCAGATTTATACCGTGGATAAAAACAGACGGACTTCTCCGCTGGCTTACCTGCTCCTAAATTCAACAGTGTTGGTCATCTGTTAAACTTATTCATCTGTATTTGTAGTAAAATGCGTATGCAAATGAAAATTTGGTTATTATGTTACACCATAATATCAGTGCTGACAGTACAGTTGCCAGTAGGTCACTTTTAAAAAGAAGCTATGTTTTTCTTAAAAACAGTCAAAAGACACAAAATATTGTAAAAGCAGCAAGTTTTTGCCACAAACAGAATTTTTCTGTTCTGTTTTTGCTTTTTTATTACATTTAAATGTTGCAGATCACCAAATAATATAAAAACACAAGACAAAGTCAACAAGAGTAATACAAAGCACAATTTTCAAAATGTTATTTAATTTATTGAGAAAAGGCTAAATCATCAAGTTTTGTTTAGGAAGTTGCATTAAGTGTCATTCCTGACACACAGACCTGGTTTCTACCATGTCTGTACAAACTATCTGGAAACATAAAGCTGGATTTTCATGTTTTGGACTGGCCCAAACTGACTCCTAAATCATAAATTATTCGGTAAGGTATGCTCACCTTACATAATTTGGAGTTCGTTGAAAAAGACGAATGGCCAAAATACGTGAGGGGCGGGGGGAAATAACAGAATGCCAGAAATTATAAAAAAGGATTTTATTGTTTTGATGTCATTTATTCATTTATACACATTAACACATTCACCAGAATGCTTCAGTAGCTTGAATGAAAGGCGTCGACCTGTTTTCATTAATTAGGAAACTTCCACAACCAGGAACGTAGTCTGTTATTTATGCATTAGGTAAAGACAAAAAGAGTTTCTAAAAGATCAAGGCATAGATATTTTGTAAGGTTGCATTATTTTAGACTTTTTTTTCTTATTTTTTCCTTGTTTCTTCTGTTTTTTTTATTTTATGATTTGACGTTAATTAGACTGAATGAAACTTCTGTGGATTTATCACGCTTTCGCACCTTTTCAATCCGAGGTGAACTTTTGGAGCTAATATTTGCAGCAAATTTAAACTTACAGTGCTCAATGGAAAAAAAAAAAAACATTTAGAATTTTTAAAACTGCCTAAAAAGTTTTAAAAAAAACAACAAATATACATTTAATTTTGTTTTAATATCACAATATTGCCACAGTGTGGTGGTTCTCGTCTTTCCTAAACAACATGCTGCAGATTTGAATTGTTTCCGCTGTGACTGTGTTGGAGACCACTTGTGATGATGCCATGAATCCTGAACATATATAGGGCTTCTTCCTGGTGCCACGGCGTCCATTTCCAGCATCTATTTTTCGGTTATTGGCTGCCATTCGCTTGCATGTGAAATCAGTCCTGCCAGCAAAGCTTTTAAGCTCTTAACTTCAAATCTCTCTGTACTCTTGGCTTTTCTGTGGCGCTTGCAGCTAACATCTTTATTCCCGTGGCTTAGCAGTCAGTCAGATTTCCTAGGGGATTCCGACAGAAAGAGACAAGCAGAGCGGATAATCGCGAGAAAAAAACACTTTAAGAGATTAATTTCTTTTCTTCTCCCCGTTATTGCGATCCCAACCTCTGCTGGCGTGTATGAGAAAGGGACCAATGCAGATGATTAGAAGAAAATGTGAACCTAAGTCACAGTATACATATATGATTAATAGTTGTGCCGACGTAGCTCTTTTTCGTCTGCAAGCAGCCCAGCTGTGCATCGGTGGAAGACGGGGATGGCTGTAACAGCATTTATTCTCCCTGATCAACAATTTAGGAGCTGCTTTCTCAACACCTCACAGTGCTTCATTCTGTGATTTTTTTTTTTTTTTTACAAAGGTGTTTGTTGAAGCAATATACAGAAAAGCAGTTATGGGCAAAAATCTAATTATATTGCAACCATTTAAACCTAGTTTGTCAAACCCAAGGCAATTTTCCCGGTGCGAACGAGTTGTGCCTCTGTTGGCTGATTTGTTGCCTAAAGTAATAAAATTAGATTTGCAGGCAACAGAGCAATCAGGGAGGCTATTAAGTAAAGCAGTAAGGAGGTGTAAGCACATTTCGGATTCAAAGCGGGCGCTTCAAAACGGTGACGGAGAGGCTCGGAGAAAGAAGAACGATGGCCATTCAAAGGATGGAGCATCTCTTGCAAGTTTGATCAGCGGCATTTCATCATGACTCGTTTTTTTTTAAACGCCTCTTTATGACACCCTCCAGTCGCTGTGTGTTGGACTTAGCTCGGTTAAGCAAGGGAGGCTGCTGAAATGGGCACATAAAATTTATTCAAGGAAATTAATGTCAGATTGTTTATTCTTGTCCCCCCCAGTCTTTAAAATGGCTGTAGCAGCTTGAGTGACTGTATTATATTGGTTGAATTCATCTATCATTTTTAGGTGCAAAAAAAAAAAAAGTTGTAAATATAAAACAAATTAGAGTCCACCTTTTAATTCTTTTTCAAGGACCAAAATATACTTTTTTGACTGAAAGTGTTTGGAGACTTACCGCAGCATCTCTTACTGGGTTACGGCGGTACGTTTTATCGTATGAAGAAACGTCTTCTTGCTGAAATATGGAAGTATTGTCACTTTATTTTAACATTGTTTGAACTTTATTATTTTTAACTCGGAAAGTTGTTTCCTTATACAAATTTCAAAAAAGATAAATTCGTTTTTCAAAAGAGATATATTTGCATCCAGAGGATCCTCAGTTTTTTTTTTGCAGCATGTTACTTACACATGAACTAATTATTGTTTGATTTAATGATTCCCAGCATGCTTATAATCACTTCCTCTAATCCTCAGATCTAACGCAACATTCAGTCAATTAGCAGAAAAGAAACACAACACTGCCAATCAACAAAAGGAGAAAAACTATATATGTTTGCCTCCACAAATTACAAGGTTATCAAAAAGCAATAAAGTTTAGTTTATATGACATGTTGACTGAAAACTATGGACAAGAAAACAATAATGTAACTTCTCAAAATGTAATATTACTCAAAGAATGATGACTCAAACCCAGCAGAGTGATTGATGCATGGTTATAGTTCGCTCAATGGTGTTGCTTCTTGTTTAAATCATGGAGGCTAGAAAGTCACTTTATTAAATGATTTTAATAAAGTTCTACTGGTTATCACTTCTATGTGAACGTCTCCCAGTGAAAAATAAATAAATTAGATCAGATGGTTTGTAGCACTGACATAAGTTTAACTTGCAATACTAAAATTGCATGGTAGCAATTACGAAATTACTAAAATTGTGAAATTTCCTATGATTAATATTTGTGCACATCCAGTTTCTGGGCTGTGAGCCTCATGTGAAACTCAGTCCATGCAAGCTGCCAATTAGGAGCACCTTGATAATGTCTTATCAAATCAGCTTAATCTGACAACTTTTATTACTCTCTTTCTTCAATTTACCAGCCATTTGTTTCGACTTCAGCAATTCATGGTTCATATAAGCATTTACAGATTTTTTCCTTTTTTTTTTTTTTTTTTCTTGTATGGACATCATTTCCTCCGGCTGAAGGCCGTTAAGCAAATGCATTTTTGAAATATTCATTTATAAACTGTAAAAAAAAAAAAAAAAAAAGGGTTTTTACTCTACATGTCCAGTTCTGTCGGGTTGGTTGGACTCAGACGTCTGTGCAGCTATTTTCAGATCTCTCCAGAGGGGCCAAACCAGACACCAGCCTGGATTCTGGTTTGGCCCCAATCTGAGGTCAACAGCGCCAAGTTGCAAATTGAATTGTATTCAGTTCAACGCAATTCAACTCAAATAACTATATTTGTCCCTAAGGGGCAATTTCAAGGGACTTTAGTAGTGCAAATGGACTCCAAAGTTATAGCTCGGACAACAGAATTCATAAAATTCACACATACTTATGAATATATAAATATAAGCACTAGTAGGTAATAACAAGTGCATTCTGATTTATTATTGGTCTGCAGCCACGATCTTGTCATCTCAACAACTTAAAATAGTTGCATTTTGAAAATAAACACAAAGAGTTCCCGAGTGTAATATTAAAAGTTTGTTGGCCTCAATGTTGGAGCGGATCTATGACTAAATAATAATCGAAATGGAAGCTGAACTGGCGGTGAAAGCGAACATGTGGCACCGTTCGTGCACTTTCTCTCATATGGCTGCCATTAAACCTCCAGGTTTCCCTCTGAAGCCCCGACTGTAACGGTGACATTGAGAGTCTAGTCGGTTTAAAGAAGTTGGGGCTCACCCTCTGCGCTGAATTACTTTTGCAGCTCAGAACTTCAGCAACCTTTGAAGTGAAAAGAACTGCTTTGGCAGTGAAAAAAAAAAAAAGTGTTTCTGGAGGTTGTGGGTTCTTCAGATCTTTTTTTTTCTTCTTCTTTTAAAGTGCGTCATGGATGTAGTTGAAGTTCTGCCAGAAGTCCCTGGTCTACTTTGATTGTCAACCTGTTCATGGAGTCCAACCAATTCATTACTGGTCAGGTTGTTGGTTTTGATGCGTTGCGGTGAGATGTGGACGGTGTCACTGTCTCTGGGGCTGCGAAGCCAGTTCTAACCCACGTGTTCATGTTGCTACAGCAGTAATTTTTTTACCTTTTCTTCTTGTCAGAGCCGCATGGGACATCGAGGACGAGGACGACGAGGACCGGCGGGGACGGGGCTGCACTCTGCAGTACCAACACGCCATGGTCAAAGTCCTGACCCACTTTGTTGCCGAGCCAAGCGAGGCGCGAGGTCAGACCGCCTTCATGCTGGGCTCCGACTGGCAGGTGGACATCACAGAGCTGGTAGGGGACTTCCTGAAGGTAGAAGACCCCCATATAGCAAAGCTGCTTGACAGAAGGATCCTGGCTGGACAAGACCCAGGAATGACCACTATCCAGGTAATATATCACGAGATCTACCATAACAACAACAAAACAAAACAAAAAATGCGTTGTGACAGAAAAACACTCTAATTTGTATGAATATTTTGGGTCAGTTTGCTGGACAACTTTATTCACCAAAATTGTTTTATTTTTGTTGGCAAAATAAACATAAATACAGAGCCTTGAAAAGGTATTTACCCCTCTTGAACGTTCACATTTCGTCAGGTTACCACCTCACTTTCTTCATTGTATTTTGATAGATTTCACGTGATTAACCAACACAAAATACTACATCGTAGTAAAGTGGAATCACAATGATACATGGCTGCCTTTTTTGCTGCTGCAAGTCTTTTGTCTGCTCCATCTTTTCACATATAGAAACAATAGAAATCCCATGAAGCCCACAGCAGTGCTGTCATTAAACCATTCAAAAACCTGTGATGCCTTTAAAGAACAACTTGTGTTTTTTATTGAGATAAAATTACAAAGAGGTGAGTACTGAAGCTACTACTTTTGTACAACACAAATGAATGCCACACCTTTCTGCCAAGCTTTCCTTTTCTCTCTTCTTCACAAATAAACTCTTCTTTTTGTTTTTTTGTTTTTTTTTTGGTATATCACTGAGTCTCAGTAAAAACACTGAATGTTCAAGGAGTATGAATACTGCTGCGAGGAACTTGAGGACAAAATAGAAACTCTTTCCTGTTACCGTGAATTAAAAGAGTATAATATAGTTGTCAAAAAAAAAAGTTTTGTTTTTTCTTCCTTTTCCCGTAATCAGAACCAGACGGCTGACTCCTTTGTTCAACTTCTTGGCTTTCTGCAAATTTATTAAGCATTCCAATGTAATCTTTGTTTTGTGCACATATTTACACTTTTCCCACTATGAGGCCTTATCTCTGCTGAACATGTAATGCACTCCTTATCCAACAGGGTCCAGCACTTGTGATTCTTATCCCCTTTTTTTTATTTATTTACTTTTTTTTTTTTTTTTACCACAAGCTACAATCAGTAAGGCTCTAAGTTTGCACTCAGCCAGGAAATAAAAACGATCGTGTAAAAACCTTTGGGCGTATTTGTGCTAGAGAAAGATTAACGTACGAGTAATGTCCTGATGGAACGGGAACACATTGTTTATTGCAAAGGCAATACAAGCCGGGAAGACCATTGCTGGTATTTGATCGGTGCGCTCTTCTTGTCCAGAGTGGACAGGTGCTCGGCCGTGAGTTGGCCTTTATGGGCCTGTCAGCTCTTCACACTGACTGAGTGAATCTCAACCTCCTAATGACATCAGCAAAAAAATAAAAAAAGCAGAATCTTCTTGGCGTTGTGGAGGGCAGACATGTGTTCACCTCCACAAACTCTCTCTCGCAGACTCAGAAAACAAGCACGGACCTGAGAGCGTGATGAACGCAAAGGTCTGACAGCTGCAATTACCTTCGACAGTCCGCATGTCACCTGATACACGAGGAGACAGTGGCGCGCATATGCATGCACAGGACGACAGTCACAGCTCGGGGTTCAGCTTTCGTTCTTGCGAAAGGACTGAAATCTCTCTCTTTGTTGTTTAAGGAGAAGGAAGTTTTGTCAGACAGCAGTAGACTGATCTCATTGGGTGGAGAAACAAAACTGCACTTTTGAGAACTGCTTTGTATTAAGTTTGACACGTTTTATGCAAGATTAACCTATGGAAGAAATAAACATTTTTCTAAACCACATGCAACTCAGAGCGATCCATTTTCTTGCAACATCTTCACAGCCTGTCAATCAAGCAACATAGGCGACGGTGAATATCTGCCGAGATTTTCCCATGATCAGCTTTTCAAATGAATCGCTCTCTTTCTGCGTCGTGCCTTGTTCGTCGTACTGTTTACGTCTCTCGGGGAAGACTTGGTGTTTAGAGGAGAGATGCAAAGGGGGGGGGAAAAGGAATTAAAGTGCTGGAAGTGCATCCGTTGTTGTTGACGATCCACTTTTACGGGCCAGTCAATCGTTTCTTGAAAACGTTACGTGAGTAGGTGCATTTGGTTCTCCTGTTCCATGAAAAGCATGTTTGTTTGGTGCTCCGAGCATTATGATGCGGAGGCTATATGGGCTTTTTTTCTCCAGGGTAGGGGGATGTTAATGGAAATAAGGATAACCTGATGATGTCTAGAAGTTAGAAGATTGGCCAGCTATGAGGGAGCAGCTGCTTCACAAAGACATCTCATCCAAATACTTGCTCCGTAGCCCAAAAACTTGAGGAAATCAGGTTTTTTAAATAATGATCAACTGACCATCAGGAAACAAAATTGAAATGATCTATGATTTCCTCCAAATTAGCCAAATTGATCTATAGTTGAACCATGCTGAACACATTGAAGCAGCTCAAGTAATGAAGAATCCATTGGACTTCTCCAAACAAAAGAAGTCCAGTTTCATCTTATATATAAATATATATATATTTTTACCATCTTTTGAAATGATCTGTTTTTCCTCTGTCACACTTTGATTTTGCCTCCAGGTCTTGTCCCCACTGTCCGACTCAATCCTGGCGGAGAAAACTGTCACGGTGGTGGACGACAAAGTGACCATCGCAGAACTGGGGGTCCAGCTGGTGACGGGACTGTCGATGGGCCTGCAGTTGAGTCCAGGAAGCAACAGGGCCATCCTGGCTACGACCAGCACACAGGAAGTCCTGCAGAACCCCAAACAGGTCGGAACAGATTATGTTTATCAGAGCAATCTGTGGATTTATTAAAGGAAGTCATAAAATACAATTTAGATGATAATCTGTGATTAATTTCGGAATTTTCCAATTAAACATCTTGTAAAGTATAATTAGTTTTGCTGTGTTTATGGCACTTACGGCAACAGGATATTAAACGTGCTGTTTTGTATCTTTCTACCAATCGTTTTTTTTTTTTTTTAGGCAAACAAAAACACTTCTGGATCATTTAGATAATTTTGGAAGATAAAACGTGCAGGGTTATATGTTAATGGGAATAATCATTATCTGTTTTGAAAAGTGGAAACGGAGCTGTAATTACCTCGTCTTCTCTCTTATTGGCACGCTAGCCGCTACGGCGTCTAGCTTCGTCTAATACTGATTGTAATGTATGACATTAAAACCAAATACATGTAATTGCGCAGCATTTAGGCAGGTCTGATTACCACAGAGAATGGTGTTAATTTCACACAGTAGTGTTTATGTTTCCGTGCATAAAATTGCAAGTTGTGTCAAACATTTCAGTAAAAAAAAAAAAAAACCTGTTGTTTTGAAAGGAAAAGGCATATTCCTCCAGACAGATGAGGATGAACAAATTGTGAGCCTTCCTGTGCTCAAGTACACACGTCTGTTTGTTTGTTTGTTCGTTCCGCGCTCTCCCCCCTCCCGGCGGTCTTAAACTCGAGGTTTGAGAGCCGGAGTGTGACAGACATGTTTTTTTTTTTTTTTCCTCCTTCTTCTTCTTGGGCAGCAGCTAAAAGTGGAAACTTAATCTCAGAGCATGCGAGTGTGAAATCACAGCCAAGGCACCAAAATATGACTTGTATTCAAAATGCGGCTGTTCTATCAAACTTTCCGTCTTGCTAATTTGGTAAGGCAACTTGAATTGCAGCTTCTTTGATTTACCAAGCCCTCTCGTGAGTTCTCTGTGCCATGCTACTTTCCTTAACCTCCCTTTCCCTAGCAGAAGAGGCGGGGAGGGAACAGGCGCTTATCTCTACATCTCCTCACGCGCAGTGTGAAGATAAGCAGGCGGCACTGCAGCGTTGCTCGTCTGGTGGCAGTAATTAGGAAACATTTGCAGACCACAGTGGGGAGCTACTTGTTCCTCTTTTGTCCTTCGGCAACATTAAAAGGCCAGTTGTTAAGCTTCAGCACAAGGCGGCTTTAAGAGCAAATATATGGCAAATCCTTATTGGCACGAGCAATGTTTGATGTCGCCCTTTGATCTCCTTTTTCTTTCCCCTTAATCTGTTTCCCTTTTTAACTTTCGAGAGAGTTGCCACGGAGTTTGCGAGCTATATCTTAGATTTAATTCAAGCCATAAATTCCATCTATCCATTCGTTTGTTATCCATCCGTCCATCTGCTTGTCTGCTACCATTGAAATGGATGCAAATTACGGTTTCTGATGAGTTGGTTGGCGTAAATGACTTCTCGGTCATCTGATTAAATAAAAGTCGCATAAATACTTCCCTCCGTCTCTCTCTTTCTCTTTTTTCTTTCTTTCATCTTCCCCTCGTTTCTTCTCTTCTCTCTCACTCTGTCTCTCACATAACAGTTTTAACCTTCAGAGGTAGCTCACATGATCTGCTCCGGTCTTTTCCCACGATATAAAGTTGGAAACAAGTTTTACAATTCATGTAAAATAATGTCTTAACAGAAAAAGGCATTCCTCAGACAGATATAGGTCCCATTGCATTCACGTTGTAGAAATGAAATAGTTTTGAATGTATTTGCACATATTATATTGTATGTTTAAGAGTTTTGTAACTATGTCTTTTTATTTTTTGTATGCTGCCGTTCTTGGCCAGCTCTCACTTGTATAAGAGATAATTTGATTTCAATGAGAAAACCCCGGTTAAGTTATTATTATGATTATTGTTTCTATAAGTTTTATTTCCTCTGTCTTTTCCTTCCCCAGGAGGCCTTGATCAGCGCCTGGCTCCAGTTCAGTGACGGCTCTCTGGCTCCGCTGGATCTCTACAACACAGATTTCTTTGTGCTGACGGCCATGTCTCTGAACGAGAGGGTGGTGACGGTGCAGCAGGACCCCTCGTGGAAGTGGCCCATCATCGTGACGGAGGCGGAGGGTCAGGGCTTGTTCATCAGGGTGGAAATGACTGTCAACGAAGCTTGCCAGAAGTTCAAGCGCCGCAGCGTCCTGGCCGCGGGGAACTGTAACGTCAGGGTGGCGTTTGGTCCCGGCGAAGGCTCGAGGGGAGGCAGCAACGACTACGGCCCGGACGGAGACGACGTGGAGAACAGAGGCAGGCTCTCATCACAGGACAGGACCGGCCTGGACACCCACTACTATGGCAGCTCCATCTCCGACATAGAAGACGCGGGGTCGAGGAGAACGACCACGACCAGGAGTGTTATCATTCGCAGGCCTAAGCTCTCAGACGACGGAGGCCGAAACATGCCGATTGACTTTGCAGACTTCCCCGCCCAGGTGGATCTGCCTCACGGCCGCAACACCGACGACGACCTCATGCACGGCGGTCGCGGACTCACCGACCTGGAGATTGGCATGTACGCCTTGCTCGGCGTCTTCTGCCTGGCCATACTGGTCTTTCTCATCAACTGCATTTCGTACACCCTTAAATACCGCCACAAGGAGCTCTCCATCGAGGGCCAGGAGAACCTGAACCACGCCCACGACTGGGTGTGGCTGGGGAACGAGGCGGAGCTGCTGGAGAGTCAGATCAGCCTGTCGCCGCAGCAGGAGGAGCAGACCTCCATGATAGACTCCAGCAGCGGCCTGGAGGAGGGCAGCCACCTGCTGAACGGCGGCTCCGTGCAGAAGAACGTGCAGGGACAGGTGCACCGCGCCGCGGACACGGCGAAGGACGTCAAAGGAGACTCTCCCACCACCAAGAGGAAAAGAGTGAAGTTCACCACGTTCACCACTCTTTCTTCGGACAATAGCCACCCGGCTGTCAGCACGCTCACGGGAAGCCACAGCCAGGACATTAAGTGGGTGTGCCAGGACGTGCAGCTGGGAGACTCCAAGGAGTTGCGCAACTACATGGAAAGGTTAAACGACAGTGCTTTAAAAGAGGTGGCGTAATGTACAACGTACACTTGCTATAAACTCACCCTTTTGCCTTTCAGAGGAGAGTGGGTCTCAACAGATCCGTGTCTGGGGAAAGAGGAGGAGGAGGAGGACGTTTGGACACAGAATCACCTCAAACTGCCAAAGGATCTTCAGATTTAAGAGGACGGCCGTGAATCCACTCATTAAAAAAACAAAACAAAACATACACACACATACACACACAAACAAGGCAATCAGGTGGATCCTTTTCCTTTTAGTTCATTAGATGATGATCTTTTTATTGTTGTTTTGTTAATACAGGGATTAGAATCCAGGAACCCAGGACGGATGCTGACATTCAAGTGGCTATTAAACGGTTTTTAAACGAACTCTCTACAACAGCTGGATAGACTTTCGGAACGTGTGTGCACATCAAATCATTTTGGAGGTTTTGTATCGCTTTGGATACTCATTTCATAAGACACACAGCCCCCCCCCCGCCCGTTCGATGGAAGAGTTCTGGATGAAAACGGGCCAAGATGAGCTTCTGCATGTTGTTGGTACCAAGAAAAAAAAAAGGCACAAATTTCCAATTCTTTCTTATCCTTCTTTAGCAAGGCAGAAAACCTGTTATGTACAAACCGAACATTCTCCAAATCATTGTATTGTTGCTCTGTATATTGTATTTTCATAACAATTAAGGAATACACAATAATGTCCAGACTGTGAATCCGCTCTTTTCTCTTTTTTTTGTCCATTAATAAGCCCAGCTGAGATTTATTATTAATCTGATGTTTCTATAATCAAAAACAATGAGCACAACTCTTCTCACAACTTGCCATTCGAAGAAATAAGTTTCCGAATTCATCTAATTTATAACACACATGAACCGTCTGCAGCCATGACAGCCAAGCGTGTGGAGAAGCTTTTAGCATAGGAGGCTTGACAATGTGATAATGTGATATTTCACACGTAGCCCACACAGATTTTTAGTTTCTGAACTTGTCAGGACTGGAAAATGCCAGCAACAGGGATGTTTTCTTCTTCTTCTTTGATAATGAGGTCATGTGTAGAGTACTTGTGAGCAAATAGCATGCTATTTGCAACAGGCAGGCAGACTGGAGAAAGTAGGAAAAGTTCTTATCCGACAGTCAAGAGCGAGCAGATTAATCTAAAATGACCCAAACTCTTTGCAATCAGTTTGAGAAACGACCAATGTTTTGTTTCTGAAAATTATGACAAAAGCAACTTTCAGCGGCTGTGACGAGATCATGTATTACATTAAGTACAAGAAGAGGTAACATTTTAACTAGCAAGTTTTTCTAAGACTACAAACTATCTTTTAAAAGTTTCATGATAAATTGAATATAATTCAGTTTGAGTGTAATTTTTTTTCAATATTTTTTGTCTAAGATTGGTAAAACACTGAAGAATGCTTTATTTATGTGTGTTAGCAAACAAATCACAGTTTTTATAAATCTCAGTATTTGAAACAAAATCTTTACAGTCTTGAATTCTCCAGGTTCAAATGTGGCCACTCTTAAATATTTTAGATCTTGAGCCAGATTTGTAGAACTGAGATGGCGTTCAGGTTTGGAAAGCTAAGGAAGTTCTGAACGGCAACATTAGCTTTGTAGCATTGCGATCTCTGAGTTTGTTTAATGACTAACCCTCCGATGAGTGAGTTAACTGAGAACTTCTCCCTGAAAAAACAGTTAAAGAAAAAAAAGAAAAAAAAACCTAAATAAATGGATCTAGCTGTTAACATTTCTGTTCCGCTTTATTGTGCATACAAAACTCAAACAATAATTTCAAGGTGTGGTAATGTTTTCCTTTGATCATTCTGCTAATTGCACAAATAGCAATGATCATTTAAAAACCTCCTAAACAAAGCCGTTCAACTGATAAATTGTGTGTTTTTCAGGAAATGTTATTATCTTCCCAGTAGGGTATGGGGCTTGTTTATTTTCCATTAGGCAGGAAGGAAATTCATTTAATGTGCTGCTGCACATTGGGCTTTATTGTTAATCCACAAAACGTACAATATTACTTTAAAGAAGAGAGGCTGAAATACATGAGTGTACTTCTTGGATGCAATTTATATTAGCTAAGGCTAACCTTATTTGATTTATTTCTTAGTCTTAGTCTGTGTGGAAATTCTAAATTGTCAAATAGAGGAATATTCATAACATGAGAGAAAATGAGTACAAAGAAAACATTAAATATTGTATGTGGATATTAGGACCTTTGGTCTGCAGCCTCCAGGATCTCATTGATTGAACAGCTGTGGATTGTGGCAAATCTGAAAAACCGCGTTTCAGTGAAAATAGGAACTTAAAACTGCTTCACTCTCAATTCTGGGTTTTTTTCCCCTGCCGTTAAACATCCTGTCATGATGTTATTGCCACTGTGTCACATATGCAGAAGGATGCTACTTTACAGTCTGTGGAATTTCCCTGTAAATACAGGAGGTTCCTGCACCCCTACTGTGGGTTTCAGCCACAGAGGAAAGGAGGAAACAGCATCAGTATTTTATTCAGTTTATCGGCAGCAATCAGGGCTGCAGTTGATCTTTATATAATAACGTGCAATCTGAAGCTGGACATTTTCAATAATTTAAACTCTCTCTCCTCTAAGCCAGAAGGAATCAAACACGCGAGGCATTTTTCAGCTACCTCTGATCCGATCACGCTGAAGCTCAGGGTCATTTCACATGAGGCACTAGCAGTGTTTTAAAGTTAGATTTTAAATGAATCAACTATAAATTTCCCCCCATTTCTTCCTTGTTGTCCTTTTTTGTCAACGCTAAACACAACGCCAGAGTTACTCTTCCACAATAATCTACCATTTCAACTGCAGCCTGAATTATTCTCCATCCTTCAAGTCATCAGAATCCTGCCTACCTGCACAATTTGGACGTGTGCGTGTTTCTCCTCACCGGGCAGCGCTGTGACATACTGATGTGCCAAGTTTCATCTGATATGCAAGCTCACAAGTAAAGCATTAAAAAAGTCTTAGTCTGCTTTCAGCCTCCCTTCCAATACCCAGGCGACCGAGCCATGCAGGTGAGTGTGTGCAGCAACCGGGCTTCTCCGGTCAGCACCGAGGAGCCAGACAATGTACCGACACACTCATCCCAGTCGTACCACGGAGGCATTGATCACGTTCAAAACAGTTTGGTAACTGTTGTTTTTGTCACGCATAATGAGTGTGATGCATTATTAATTGACCCTTTGGGTTCCTCTCCAAGCCACTCCATCCATTATCTTTAATATCACAGTTCTGTATGAGTCCAGGGGCCAAGAAATGCAAAGAAAGAACTGGTTTGGCGTTCATTTGAAAAGATAGAAAGTTGTTTAGAAAAATTTCCTAGACGTTATGTAGCACAAGTTACTGTTTCTCCTTAGACCTGAATGTCTTCTTTTCTGCTGTCCATGTGCAGTGTGCTGGGAGTTTGTGGGTATGGGAAGGATTTCAACAGTCAGCACCAGGGGCATGATTTATGGACCGTGTGACGGGGGGGTTGCAATTTAAGCACCTCTGCAGGTCTTTCTGTGATCATATGACCATTTGTCAGGGATCTCCGATTCTTCAGTTAGGAACTGAGCAGTCCGACCCGCCGTCCCGCCTGGGCCCCGGTTTTAGATGTGCTCACACCTGCTAGGATGCTGCACAGGAGGCACATTGAATATTCACCACCTGTCCTGTGGCACGGAAACCCGGGAATCTCGGCTTTGTCAGCCTCGAAGTCTCGGCTTCCTTTAAACGAAAAGAAAAGAACTCTCCCCAGGCTTTCATCTTAAATGGATTTTTAATTAAATTGATGATGTGAGACCAACAAACTTGTACTAATGGTTGACTCTGCTCCCTGTGGTCCTGAAGTGCCAAGCCTGGATTTGCAATTTCCAAATAATTATTCGCCACATGATTTATGTTGCCTCCTTGAATTCGTATTAAACGTAAGCCCGCGCTGGTTTCGGAACAACTGAGCCCTAGCGCGCTCGTTTTCGGAGAGGAGCAAATTAGCAGAAGCCGACAAGGACGGCACGACACTCTGGGTCGACCAGTTTTACAGATTGTTCCACTGGGACCTAAACACAACATTGTTCATAAGAACACCCCTTTGCAAAGTCTGTGTGTCCCGGTACACAATCTCCCACTGGGACCGTATGCCAGACACACTTAATAAATATCTTCAGAGTACATTCTGACCCTCGCCTGAAGACATGCAGGTGCAGAGGATATTGATTTCCTTGATTAAAAAAAAAAAAGTTAAATAACTTAAAAACATGCATGGTGATGCGTTCCAAGAGTTTTTTCCTGTTCGTTCGAGAATGGTGGCTTGCAGCTAATGAAAGGCAAAAAATTAAGTTGCTCAAAACCAATTAAAAAAAATTGAATACTGATATGTTATGTAATGGGCTATAAAATATGTTTGGATGCATTAGTATGTTCTAAAATATAGTCAAAAAAAGAAATTAAAGTCACTAAAAATTTCCTATTTGACATTTCAAAATGTTTAAAAATAGAAGAAATTACAGTTTGACTGAATCTGATAGTAATTGGGAAACATCAGCGATTTTTTTTTTAAAAGACTGAAAAGAGCTTATGCTTTATCTTGACAGAATCTAACATTTTCTTTTCATGCTTTGCTTTGTTTTCTTTTCTGCTGATCATCAAATGATCTCTGCTCAAAGGTCAAGATGAACTAAATCGCTCAAAACTCCAACACTGTCCTGCTAAGCGGCAACAGTCAAGACCCTTAACAACATTGTCTGAACCCTAAATATGATGTTGGTCAGGCGTTCTGTTCAGAACAAGTCGGGCTCAATGCACACAGTGGGTAAAAAAAAAAAAAATCAGCAGCTTTCTGAGAGGCTTTTTCTGTCATCGAGAGAACAGAAAGTCTGAGGCTTACCAAGCTGCACCTGAAAGCAAAAGCATTCCTCATTTTAGCTGTAAAAGATTTATCTTGATACCTGCAATGTTTTACTACAGTCATGCCACAATTCGTACCAATAAGAGCCTCCAACCTACTGCAAGGGCTTTTATGCGATATTCCCGAATTGTTGCCATAAAGCCAGATTGATGTATGCCGCTGAAGCGCTTTATGGTTGCTTATTTCACAGATGATCTGTCTGAGCGAACAATCTCAACTAGCTGCTGTGCTCAGTCCTGCAGAAAACAGGCAGTCAAGTGACGAGAACAAATTCTCCAGAACAGGAGCCCGTGAGCGAGGCTCTACATACGTTATCATCTCTGCAGCTTTAACCCTGTGCAAAGAGCGAAGCGTTGGAAACGCTCGTCTCTCTGTCAACAACAGGCCTGAGATCCTGAAAAAGGCCTGTGGAAACGCAGGCGATTAGCCGATTAGCCTAATTGGCCATTTTCTTTAACATGACGTGTTCATTACTTTATCTTAATTAACATGGGATGACACTTTGTAATCCTCCATTTACTAGAGCAACATCTTGGAGGGCATCTGTGAGCTGCTCATTACACAGGTAAGACATTGTGATACAATAAAGCAGCTAAACTTTCTGTAGATTTGGCTTCTGTGTGGTCCTAAGAAAGGCTTTGGCAACACAGCTGGGCAAAGATATTAATTAGATAATACAGAAACATATGCACTCCTAAAACCATAAATCATTTGAGGGAACTGATACTTTTTACCATTTATTTAGTGATGTATCTGCTGTTTCTATACTTCTGCCAGATGTG